TTCTAATAACATTGCATGAATTGTTTTGCACTGCTGGAATGCAGCATCTACAGTAGCCAGTGTAATGTAATTAAATGCAAATTTTTTTTTTTTTTAACTCAACTCTCCATCTATCTCTTGGTATTTGCTTTTGCAGATCAGGGTGGGGTCTTATGAAGCAATTGCTGGTGAGGGGGCTGGAGCGACGCACGGCAGTAAATAATGACTGTCTCAATGCACAGGAGATTTTAGACACAGTAACAGTGGGCTGTAATATGGGCCAAATCTGTCCCCAAGGACAACAGTGGATTAACCAACATCACTCAAATCACACAAATGCACACACACCCTGAAGTACTGATTCACAAATCAATCTCCTCCCAACCCTCCCCCAACTTATTTAATAGAGGATAATAAAAGCGAAAAAAGAGGGAAGCGAAGATAAGAGCGTGTGTGAGAAAGAGGAATGGGGAGAGAGAAAAAAAGAGAGATCTAAAGAGGGAGAGAAGAAAGAGAGAGATGGAGACTGAGCAGAGAAAAGAGGACAGGCGTTTCAATAATTCACAAACTCCTGCTTCATTTAGAATAGAATCAGTGCCCAAACTGGACCCATGTGTCCTCTACACATGACACATCATCCACAGTGGCAGGCTCACTCATAAACTCTGCTTGTGTGTGTGTGTCCGTGTGTCTGTGTTTGTGAGGGAGAGAATATGTGCAAGAGCTTGCAAAAGAAACAACATATGTAAAGATGTATGTGTGGGTGCACGGGTGCATGAGTGCAGCTCTGCCGACTAGCAGATATGGATTTCTATTAAAGGAGTGATGTAGATTCATTAGTATGACTGGTGCAGTGAGAGGAGAGAAGGGAAGGGGATGAGATATAGGCTGCATTACATCTTTATATAACAAACCTTTTTCCTCCATTCAAGTTTAAAGATGGCCAGTATGTTTGATAGTGCTATCACCTGAGTGGGACGTGATAAGAAAAAACAAAAAAACAGACACAGCCACAATCCTACTACCAGCACAGTCTAAAAATACCTAAAAGAAAATACTTTTTTCCACAAAGTTGGCAGCAACTCCACAGCTCCTGGTTGTTTGTGTGTGTGTGTGTGTGTGTGTGTGTGTGTGTGTGTGTGTGTGTGTGTGTGTGTGTGTGTAGCAAAAGAAGTCAAAAGTCCTCAACATGGAAACAGACAGAAACAAATGTGGACTGAATTTGTCCCTTTTGCTACTGTTGAGAGCCGTCTTTGCATGTCTGTTCTTGCGTTCTCATGTGATGTGATGATTTGCATGCTCTGTCCCACGCTAAGCAATTTCAAGGACTTTTACAGTGTCACTCCAAAATGTGTCAAAGACACCATACAGGTGGAGGGACACAAGTTGTTGTTTCCTAAAAGCCAAAATGTCAACAAGCAGAAAAATCTGGCTGTTTTGTGGGTACAGATTTCATCATATATAAATTTAAAAAAAAAAACTTCAGTCAATCAGGTTGCAGATCAACGAGGACTAAAGCATACAGGAGTATATGTGTGTGTGTGTGTGTGTGTGTGTGTGTGTGTGTGCGCTCCTGTCATTCACTGTGACCCGCAGCAGCAGGGATCTCTGTTATGTAATCCTTGCTGTCAAATGCATTCACACACACCTCCGTGCACACACACACATACACGGACGCACAAACAGTGCATACAAACACACACACCTGCTAGCACCTTCAAACAGCTCAGAGGTTATTCTAGAGTCATGGTGAGAAAACCCTGCGTGGTATCTCAGTACAATCAGGACGGGAGCGTTCCTCCCTCCCACAGCAGGTAAATAACTAACTAGTGTAATTAATGGTTCACGTCTGAGGTCTGCTGTGCTCTCATCACCATTTCTACTCAGGGTTAAATTATTTTCTGGATAACAACCTACAGTACCATGATCCATTTAAGTCTTCTTAAAGTAAGAGAACAACTAGACTTGCTTTTGACTCACTGTCCCTTTTTTCCGGTCGCAAACTCCTCTGTTTCACATAATTATAAATGTGACGTTATGGCAGTTTTTTCCTCCCTCACTGTTTATGTTTATGTAACCTCCCACGCACCAGTCAACACAGCCTACAGTTATGTACAGTGGCAGGCTCACGGCATTGTGCTGCTCTGTGATCTGTGCAGCACGTTCCCAATCTAAGGCGATCACAATACAGTATGGAGTCCCCGCAGAGTGTAGCACCGGAGCAGGAATTATTGCTGAGAGGGGGCCGCGATGTGCAAATGCGTTAATGAAAGGTCTGGGGGTTTCAGTCCAACAAAGAGATTTTATTTAGCAGAGAAATGATGAAAATACAGTATGTAAAGGTTTATTTTAGTATAATTTATCTATTGTAGCTATATATGTAGGATCTCTTCAGAGGCCAAATCATTTATTCAAGCAATGAAGCACGAATGCAGGATCATTATTACACATGATAACACAGCTACATGTAGGTACTGCATGAGTCACTTTTCAAGCACAAATCCCAAATGTTTGCTTGTTTCTTTTTGTTGTTTTGTTGTTTGCTTTTCTTTGTCTTTTATGATGCTATACTTAATAATCTCTTGAACTGAAACAAGTAACTTGAAGATTTCACTTTGGGCTCTAGGAAACAGTGATGAGCAGATGAGTCTGGTCAGAGAAATGATATATTTCTAAACACAGATTCCTGTGGAAAAGCAGCTCTTTGACTGTAGGTCCGGTAGAGTGGTGGTACTGAAGCTGAAAATTTCTTTGTAGGTGGGTACAAACATATACTGTAAGTTTGAAAATCTCTCTCGGGTATCAGCGTTGAGTAATGACTCCTGGCTATCACCCTGCACTATTCCATTAAAATCGCTCAACCGAAGCCTATCTGCCATTGTTATACCATTCAGGGAACCGCAGGGCGCTACATTAGCCCCAGGTTCGCTCCGTTCCCCCAAGTGTAGGAAAACTAGTTTAGCTCAATGGGCTATTAGCCCACACCTCTCCACACATAAAGGGATTGAGTATAGAGGAGCATAAGTGGAGAGTATATAGGGATACTGGTAAGTGGCCATCCATCAGCACCGAGGGTACAGACTACGCCAACCATTTGGTGATGGCAGGGAGGGTTGGTATACACAGCACTACACAGTACTTTTTTTTTTCTTTTTTTTTTTGACAGGCCAGTTACAATCCAACTTTTGTTGTAAAGATAAAAATAACTGATAATTCAGCCCTCGTGAAAAGAACTAAAGTAATCCTGCTGTTATTGTAGAGCTGACAATCTCCAAAGAAAATTATGAGTATACAATTCCCAGCACCACACACACACACACACACATATGCCTGTTTCTACAGACGTAATGGTGATTTGTATGTGTGTATAGCTGTAAACCAGTGTATCATCACTATCTGGCAAAAACAGAGTCTTAAAATGAAGTTTATTTGTCTCCCTGCCTCCTGTTGAAGCCAACTTGACTGTTTTTCTCAACATAATTATCACAGAAGGTGGGAGGCAGTGATTGGAGCTAACTACTCAGGTACCGTACCAGCGTCAGATCATGAGCATTGTATAAACTTGCCAACCCATTTGCCAATTAGAAACACTCCTCAGAGTCTGCTCAGCCATGCCAACCACTTCAGAAAAAGGAAATTGACATAAATAACATTAACAAGCAGTGGCTGCTAATGTCACACCGCTGTTAACTATTAAAGAGAGGTGGGAGGCGAGGGGAGGAGAGGTTATGGAAGGGAGACAAAGAGGAGAGTGTGGCAAAGTCAACATCAGGGAGTTAGAGAGAGGCATGCGGCGAAGAGCAGAGGGAAACTGACAGAGAAATAAGGACACACAGCAAGATGAAAGGGAGAAAAATGAAGGGAACATTGACGACGAGGTGAGAAAGAGAACAAGATAACAGAGGCAACAAGGCACAGAGTCGGAGTAACACACAGAGAGACAGTGAGATATGGAGAGAAAATGGTAGGTGGGAGAGGGTGGGTGGTTAGAAAGATGGCACTTTATCATACAGCTTAGTTGTAAAAGCAATAAACTCTCTATAGGTCTCAGCATAAGGACTTCCCAGGCACCACAAAGGCCATCCCCATTCATCTCACTAAAAGCTGAAGATGCTGAACTGAGTTCAACTCCTCCTGGGGAAAAGTGTTTGTCATCATGGACTCCTGACTCTTCGAGAACATCCAGGCACACAATCCATAAAAATACCTGAGAATAGGAACCAATTTCAGAGGTGGGGGACTTTTTCTTGTTTGTTTGTTTGTTTCAATATTAAATGTGCAAATAAATGTAGAAAAAAATGAAAGTTTGATTTGGAGCTGAACCGAAGCTCTTACTTAATCTCATGCTAAACTATTTTTATTGTATCTAATTGGTCTTGGTGTTGTAAAACTGTGACCTTATAGATTTTATTTCGTTTTTTTGGGCCCAAATAATAACGTCAAGTGGAAAGTAAAACTGTTTCGCAGTGCAGATGAGCGTTTCAGTTCGTCACTCAAGGTGTTTTATGACTGGTATTTACAGATGTTCCACGCGTGCCAGCTGTGAAAAGTATCATAATCAAAATACCGTAAGGGCAACAGGATATTAGACCGCACAGATGACATTTGTGGCAAGAAACTATACCGTTACCTTGACTGGCAGGAAGACCTGTAAATTATCTCATTTGCATGACTTGTCGGTTCTGTCTGCCAGTAATTATCATCCTCTGATGTGATCACTCCTGCCAGTTGCCACCCACCAGTCCCCTTCTGCATCTCCCCTTACTTTTTCATCTCTCTTCTCAACGCTCCCTCCCTCTCTCTGTCTCTCTCTCTCTCTAACACAGTGCACTTATACTGGAGGTGTGATTGCATTAAGCCGCGGAGAGCGAGGGCATCCCCGGGGCCACACTAATGTACAGAACAGAATGTACAGAGGAGTCAGTGTGAAAGGAGAGCAAGAGAGAAAGGTTGGAGTGGTGGTGGGAGTAGGAGTGTGTGTGTGTGGGGGGGGGGGGCATCCATTACTATAATCATTTTACCTCACTTGAAAAGGTTGCTCTTACAGCGGCTTCTGTGTGAGAGAGAAGACAGAAGTCAGACGGAGAAAGGGGAGAGAGATGAGAGGAGGAAAGAGCTTCTCATGACTGTTGGTAAATCTAAAGCCCAACTTCATTTTTCAAGCTTTATTGCTTTACTGCACGAGCACCCAGAGCATCCACACAATAACCAAAGATATTTCAGCAGTATATTAGTGTCCCCGTAGCGTGTTTGCAATTTCCTTGAGGCATCCTGAGACGTGCATTTTAGATGATAGCAATTAACAAGACCAGACAAGGCTCAACAGCGATCACAGCTTTTAGTATTATTCACTTTTCAGGTTAAAACCACACAAGCCATGAATCACAATTGCTAATTTCACGACATGCTTACAACCAAGTGGTGAATCCGGTTTGTTTCTTTCCTCCTGTGAAACCAAACGAAATGCCAAACACCAACATGCAAGCAATGCGGGATATCTTTCAAAGCGGGGGCGCAGGACAGGGAATACCCTAAAGGAATAACATCTAATGCAATCAGATCGCTCTGGCCAATTAGTCGGCACTAGCCTAGCCAGAGATGATGTCAGTCATCATTACTCATTGCTTAATGCTATAAAGCAGGGGAGAATCAAGAGCAAACAAAGAAAAGAGCAACAAAAGTGGGTCGGAGTTAGGAAAGGACGGTGGATTAATCACGCAGACAGTAGACAAGCATGCTTATGTGAATAATGGGAGCCCACACGGAGCCGAATTACACACACACACGCATTTCTTAAGCTCCTAAAACACCCACTTTATCTAATTCTCCAATACATATTTAAGAGTAAATGCTCACAAAGATACAGTACCCACCACAAAAAAAAAAGAAAAAAAAAAATGCAGACGCAGGGCATCACACCCCCATCCCTTCAAACACACACACACACACACACACACACACACACACACACACACAATGTTCCAGCCCATGCATGGCTCATTAGAAAAGGCCTACGGCAACATGTTTTTCCATGCTGATGGCTGAATTCCAGTCAATACCCCGCAGCTCCACATGACATTTCACATTTCACGTACATATGCGTTCAGCGTGTTATAGAGCGCATACGCAAACTATTGTAGGCGGTCGCCCACATAGCCTACCTTACAGTGCGCGCACGCACACGCACACACACATGCACACACACACACACACACATACATAGGCCCTACATGAAGGCAGATGCTGTATTATTAACGCAACAAATATGCTGACAGGCATACACAGACTCGCACAGTTTTAGAGAGAGAGAGACACACACCGATGTTTATCAGGAACAGAGTAATGGAACACAGTGGTTAAGCTGAGCAGACATACACACGCTGATTAGCTCCTATGGGAGAAGCCATTGGACCTCTTGTATGATTATTAAGCCTGACTTCAACATCTCTCCTTTGTAAACAGACGGCGGCTGTATTGAGACAATAAAGATGTGCTGCCGGAGTTCACTGGAAAAGACTTGCTCTGCCTGAACTGATTTTTTATTTTTGTGATTCTCAGGACAGAAAGAGGCGATTTTTCTCTCATGATGGTATCAACTGCGCAAAAAGAGATTGCTGTTTTTTATCAATGCTACGATATAACTGCTTTGTCGGATGGTGCTTGGCAGAAAGAGAACAGATGATGTATCGCGCTGCTGCTGCGGTATTGAGCATTACAACCTGGAAGAAATAACGTTTACGCTACAGTTTCGGGGGCCGGGGCAGATATGAAGTCACTTGATACGGGAGATAGATTGTGAGAGATTTCAAAGATGAACCTGTTCATCTGTTAGTTTGACTTTTAATTAAATCCAATAAAAAGTAAAATATTAAGTCAAATCGATTTCTGCTGCTTGCATAGTTGCAAGTTTAAATGCAAGAATGATCTTAGTTTTGTAACCTGAAAATTTTTTTAAGAAGTATTTAATGTACTACAACTGTAAATACATTCCACTTTTCTTTCTAACCAGAGATCTGAATATGTTGCCACTTACACAAAGTAACACTTAAAGCAGAAGAAATTCAGTGTTTCCTGTAAAACTGAAGGATGTTTTCATGTGGACCTAGACTTTCTAGTTCAAGTATAGTCTCTACTACAGCTATTTCCCCTTTTATCTTAAGACAGTTTTTTCTAACATCCATACAAATTTGTGAGATGTACTTACACATGTCTTTACAAAAGGAGACATGATACGGCTTTGTGAGAGTTTTCATTTTTCCCAATAGAATGGCCTTGGTAGAAACATTCAAATAAATGTTGTTTGAAAGTACTTTATTGTGTTCTTTTCCTCTCTTTGTTCGCAGTATGTAGTACATGCACAATAGGCACTCTCAGGTCTGCTCGTCCAATCGAGAATGTCTCTCTTTTCATTCATTCCTCCGCTCTTCATTTGCTCTGCCTCCTCTCCTCTCTCTACCTCTCCCTTCTCCTCTCGGTAATTCAGAAACAACCAGCAGTCTGGATGAACTCAGCGACACTGGGCAAGGTAATTATCTAATTGTTTTGGTGTGCCGAGACAGCCACAGAGAGTGTGTGTGTGTGTGTGTGTGTGTGTGTGTGTGTGTGTGTGTGTGTGTGTGAGAGAGAGAGAGAGAGAGAGAGAGACAGGACGTGTTTTGGGAGAGTGTCAGTGTGACAAGTAAAGACAGTGAGACAAAAGCAGACCAAGTGAGAGACTCTGGAGGGGGGTAGTGATAGAGAACAGCAGGAAAAGATTAGGAAGAGGAGAGCAGAGGAGAGAGAGAGAGAGAGAGAGAGAGAGAGAGAGAGAGAGAGACAGGAAGGGGTGAATCAGTGATGAATTCAATTAGTTCCTTCGCCTTGTCTTTGGCCAGTACCAAATTAAAAGAGAATACTTTCTTTTTAAGATGCAAGTTACCACTGTTTCCTGTTTTCCTCCTCTCTCTCCGTTTATTCCAACACACCCTCTCTCCTCCTCCTCTTCTGTTCCTCTCTTCATTCTCTAACCACCTCCTCCCGTCCTCATGTATCTTATTTTCCCGCTGCCCCTCTTCTCCTTCCCTCTCCTGTCCCCTCTCCCTCCTCGGTCTGCTGCTGTTGCAGTTGGCAGTCTCAGGTGTGTCTGTGTGTGTGTGTGTGTGTGTGTGTGTGTGTGTGTGTGTGTGTGTGTGTGTGTGTATCCCTTGCTCTCCAAAACCAATTCAATCCTACTATGAGAGCGGGGGCCCAGATCAAATAAAGCAGAGCACAGCTATTACAAGAAAACAGAGAAGGGGAAATCCATGCTCACACACACACACACACACACACACACACACACACACACACACACACACACAGAGGGAGAAGACGACCTCTGAATTTTACGTTTCTTACTACAACGAACTTATGTGAGGTTCAAAAGAATTGTATGTCTGACATTTAACTGATTGTTTATTTAACTTATTATGAATGCTAACCTTTAGCAGGCTAGAGCAAACACTGTTTATTCTTCTGACCCCCTTACTGCAGTCTAATGCCAAACAACAGGGGCAGGCTCAGTTTAGTTTACACTGAGCAGTTGTTCACGGACTGATACCCCCTGGCTATGCTGGACATCTGAAGAAGCTTTATTATAGAGAGCATTGCTGGGTTAATTGGTAATTTCACAACTCGGAGATTACTGTGAGTCGTTGCTGCAGGCTGCATGGAGTCTAAGCACGAGAGAGTGGGTGGGACTAATCTCAGTTTCGAATGAAAAAAAAAAAAAAATCAATCTCTGAAAACTGATTGAATCCATATAAAGCTGTCAGATTTCCCCTGCAAGACGTAAATAAGTTTACTCTTTCTCCTGGCTTATAAAATGTCTTTCACAGCCGAGTTCTGCTGTAATGAAATCAAAGCTAAGCATATTTTACTAACAAGCCCCAGGGATTATCTGAATTTAAAGTTACAGTAATGTAAAAAAAAAAAAAAAAAAAAAAGAGCGTAATGAGCGTGTCAGTGTGATCCCTGCAGTCTAGTAAAAGCAGACAGGCGCTGATTCTGTTCCTGATTTCTGTGAATTCTGAACAGTCAGCCACAGTCAAGAGGAGCCTGAACTGTAGAGCTGATGGGCCATCTCTGTCTGAAACTGAAAACAAAGACTTCAAACAGTAACATCTAAAAGAACTTTTATTCTTTTTATTTTTCATTAATGCTTTATTTTATGTGTCAATAACCTACTAATCATTTCATTGGAAGCTTCCTGGAAAGACATATAGTGCATTAATTGTAGAGGAAATATGAATTGACTTGAGAGAAAAGCTCTATGTATATAAATATGCATTATTTATAAAATCTTTAACGTCCAGAATATTATACCATCCATTGCAATTAATTAACGGGACGTCAATTTCCCCCATGCTTTGTACTAGATTACATAGTTACTTCCTTTTAAATAAAGAAGATATGATTGGGTGACATGATAGGAAATTATTACATCCACGTTTTTGTCATAAATGTCTGAATAATGTTCTTCTCAGCACAGTAAAGCAAACCAGGAGCCAAATTAGCACCATCTTAATAACTCAAATACATAAGAAGTGTATTATACATGATTATGTTAGCTCTCTAGCAACATAAGCTTAGTCTACTGTCGAACTCGAACTGGAAGCCGTGCAGGATACGACTTAAGTGTGAATGTGCCAAACATCTTAACCCAAATGTCAAATCTTCTACATCCCCAACAGGCAGCGAGACAAAAATGGATCCAGCCCCTATACAGCTGACTGACAGTCTGTATATGGTACTCCCATTAACAGCCATTTTTCTGACATGTGTTGATCACCACGACTTGCCGCCCAGCATCATTGTTTGAGCCCCCTAGACTGTCAGCCCTCCATCTGCTCATTTCTGGGGCTTTCTGCTCAGAGAAAGGCAACTGTCAACAGTGGATTTACAAAAGAGAGAGGAAGCAGAAAGAAGCCGGGAGTGAAATGTTTAATTTCCATTCAGCAGGAATGATGGGTGAAGAAAGGAGGGGACAGGGAGGAGAGAGGAGAAAGGGAGGAGATGGAGAGCAAGGAGAGTTTGAATCTCTGCAACAAAAAAAAATAAGAGTACTTTGTAGCAGCCTTTTTATTTAATGATATACTTTTCTTGCATTTGTTTCATTTGCATCTTACCTTTCCTTTATACTTTCTCTCTGAAGCTCTCCTTATTTTACCCCCCTCTCTGAATTGGTACAAAGTTAATTTAATAAACTAATTAGGCTGCACTTCAAAACATATTTGTATAGTTATGAGGCAAGTCCCCAAGCACACTGAAGTACCTCACAGGAAAATCTAATGATGCTGTTGGTGAGTCAAGTATAACTGTATATTGCTGAAGGGTAATAAACAAAAAAACTGTTTAGTCAAAAGCAGGTACTCTGCAACTGGGATGAGCCTCAGAAAATACTTCTCTGTGGGTTTTGTCATTTTTTAACTAATTAAACTTTGAATTTAAATTGATATGAAAATCCAGGAGAGGAGAGGAGAGGAGAGGAGAGGATTGGAGAGGAGAGGAGAGAAGAGGAGAGAAGAGGAGGGGAGAGAAGAGGAGAGAAGAGGAGGGGAGAGGAGTAAGAGATGTGTTCAATGAGAGGAAAGGCAGAGACTGGCTTTCCCACTGTTCTCAGTAAGCCCCTCTATTCAGGCTGCTCTCTCTCATAGGAGAGAATGGAGCTTCAACACACAGCTGGTGAGACGGAGATAAAGGACTGACAGAGGAGCTTCAATAGATACAGTGGAGGGTGAGGACACAAAAAAGGAGGAAAGGAGGAGAGGGGGAGAGCCCGCTCAGCTAGAGAATGGGTAGAGAGACTAAGGGAGGAGAGGGGAGACGGACAGAAAGGGAGGGAATTTGGCAGAAGATAAATCTGCAAAACTGAGCTGAGAGACATCATGGTGGGAGGGTCAAAGTGAAGAATAAGAAAGAAAAGAATAAAATCGAACGTCAAGTCACATTAAAGGAGAATAGAGGAGAAGGAGGAAGGAGGAGAGCGGCTCAGACAGGCCAGGAGAAGTTTATCCTCTGAGCTGTAGAAACACATAAACCCCAAAACACAGCTAAGTACATCTATGCTACATTACAAATGTTACTGACAAAAATACTCCACATCTCTGATAGAAAATGGTTCTGTTGTTTTTTGTGTACAAAGCAAAAATGCCACCTCGCAAAGAAAAATAAAACCATAAATGAAGGAAAAACTGCCAATTTGTTAAACTAATCACAACTCATTTTCACGGTAAAGACATAACTTTTGGAGAAAGTATACAGTGACTTGATATAAGATTGTAAGGTTGGTGACCACTAATCTACTGAATTCAGAGTTTCAGTAACAATGTAATAATGACAAATGAATGTTATTATTGTCAGAAGAAGAGACAGGTTAGTCACAGCTGCCATCTTTGGTTGCTTTGACACATGTTGTTCAGCTCTAAGGACTAAGGGAGGAAATTATACATCATATCATTTAGTTCTGGTTTGTTTTACAGTCACACTGGCCTAATACAAATGAACCAAGATGTGTAATCATGAAGTTATATGGACTGACATGTAACTCAATGACTGGACATGATCAGCATTACACGGACTCATGGGAAAACCAAATTGTGGTGACTAACAGCAGGTCATGTGACACTTATCTTCTCTGATGTCACGTGAAAGTGCTCATGAAACAAATAACAGAAAATGAGCATTATTAGTTGAGAGTGGAACTGGTCCTAAAATGTAACAAATAATGATGAATACAGATGAAAAAGAGACGTAATCTAATGTCATAGTATGAGGGAATAGTAACTGTGTGGTCTCTATATTTTATTGTATTTGCCGAAATACACAGTGCAGGACACAAGCACAACACAACACACCACCATTTCAAAAATCCCACCAATCAAATGCTCGTGCATATGTGTTGCCATGGTTACCAAATGAGCTTGCATAAATATATACACCTCTTAAACAACTTGAAAACTTGAATTTAATGGTAGTTTAGTTTTTTAATTGATGCTAAAAATCCAGTCCATCCTACCTGAGCAGAGGGGGCGGAGCCACTTGGGCGGAGTAGGTGGAGCCTGCCGCTCAGTTGAGAGCTGACACCCGACTGGAGCTGCAGTTCCTGGTGTGAAGTCTTGATCTCTCCACCAATGGGAGGGAAGCGTCCCGGATGTCTGCGCCGTCTGTCCACGTCTGTCTGTCTGCAGCTGCTGTCACCATTACCTGAAGGGAAACACAGAGAGAGAGAGAGAGAAAGAAAGAGAGAGAGAGAGAGAGAGAGAGAGACACAGAGAAAGCATTACCACAATGTTCAGAGTGTTCCTTACTCTTTTCTACAAATCAGCTGGCAATATTATGTTTCCTGATATGATTATTGAGGTCACAGCTCCTGCTTGTTCGAGCTCAATTATCACTGCATAATAACCAAAATCCATGCTATGCAATTACAATCGTCAGCTTAACCTTCAGCCAAGTGTTGTTTTTCCACAAAATGATTTCCTCTCAGCTTTAATGGCAGCTGTGCAGAACAGCAGCACAGGAAGAAATGTCAGCTTGTAGTGACTATCAGTCCTCAGAGGTAAAGATCCTTTACACTCCAGAAACAACATGTTCATTTAAGCACTTGGATTCAGATTTTATTGAGCTCTACTTTATGCAGTGACTTTGGCAAAAGCAAATTACAATATAATTTAATATCATAGCACATCAAAACAAACAACAAACAGACATAAAATCACCATAATGTGCTATTACTAAACTGTCTAAACTCCTATCATTAAACCCCTGCAGTCGTCTCCACTGGTGACGAGTGTCTCCCACAATAAATGGGTTTGAAAATTCAACCTGTTGACTTTGGCTCCATATTAATCGCTGCCACAGTCTTTGAGTCATTTGAGTTTAAGTCTGTGCATCTGTTAAAGTCTGTGCTTGTGATTTTGTACACTGGCTATCACTGTCTCCCTGCTGTTCCCTCTCTCTGTCGCTCTCTCCTAGGAGTATTCAGAACAAACACCCGTGCTATTTATACACTGACGCCCCATCGGCATGGCAACCACGCTTTGTTTACCCGCAAGAGACACTGGTTTGAGGCGTGTGTCCTCCTTTTTTTTTTCTAACAAAAACATAGTTATTTGGAGGCATTTAGATCTCTTTCATGAGCTTGGCTCTCTTTCTGGTGCGGACAATGTTTCACTTTGACCAAATGCCTCCAGTAAACTGAGAGCTATTATGATGAAATAGAAAGCTGGTAATAAAACTAGTATCTCTGAGGAAACAAAATTTGTTTGTTGGTTTTCTCATTGTCGTAGCCTGACAGAGTTGTTGTTGTTAAAGTTTTAAAATAATTTTACACTATAAATGGTAAGTGCTTTTTCATTTTAAGGGCTGATAAACAGCACCAAATATGTAACTAAATACATGCCAAGGATTTGATGCAGTTTAATTAAGTTCCGTCTTAATGACACATAATAAAACCATTCACACAATGTATGTATGAGTATCACATTTCTCCTTTTGTACTCCGCATATACATTAATCAAAAAAAAAAAAAAAAAAAAAAGCTAACTTTTTGTCCTGTAGGTCAGGAACTTACAGATCCAACACTGTCCAAACTTCTGTTTGCAACTACTGTCCCTCAGGTGTGAATCTAACTTTGAGACCGTGCCGTTCCAGAAAGGGAGCGATCCTCTCTGGGTAAATAAATGTTGTAAAGTGTCTAATTTGATGCACAAACACAGAGAAAAATACTTAGTGCACCCACCCAGTGCACTCCTCTCATTTAAAGTAACCCTGGAGGCTGTTACCATAGCGACAAAGACATGTCCCAAGGTCACGGGGCAGAGCTGAGCATTAAGTTGAACCCTGAAACAAGGCATCTCCTTGGCAACACAAAATCAGGTCAGTTGATCATGTGACAACCAGGCCCTGGGGACAGAAACTGATACTAAAGCACACTTTTTCTTGTTTGTACTAAGTTGACACAAACTCAAATACACACACACACACACACACACACACACACGCACACACACGCTAGGATGCAGGCATGTGAAACCTGTAAAACACCTGGTGTACCACTGTACATACTGTATTTTGAGTCACGTACACACTCACGAACCCAACCGAAGAAGCAACACAAACACACACAAGATGAAAACACTGATAACAGAGCTTTAGCAAAGACGACTTCCTAATTGTTTGACATATTGTTAGCGAAGAGTTTTTCAGTGTCTTTGAGAGAGTGTGATGTCATCTGTCACAGCCTGGTTGATAAACACAAGATCAGCTCCTCATCCACTTCACACGCCCATAACTGTCACACTCATGCTTTGTGTTTCCATGTGTATTTTCCTTATAAGAATTGAAGGTACGCTCACTAGCAGTTACAGCAGATGCATCTCTAAACATGCTCTCCATAATCAGTACGAGAGTACGGTACACTATTTTAATCTACAATGCCAAAATTTTGATTCAAATCAGGAACTATCTGAAGAATAAAGTCTTAAAATAAGTAAACAAGATCATAAATGTGACCCGACATTCAGTGCCAGCTTTCTGCAGTCGACAATTTTTGATACTCAGACGCAGACCCAAGTATTAATCTATTTACACTATGGCTTAAAAACTGTTTACCGCAATGGCTGTGTGTGCTATTAGCCTAGATTAACAGCTTAATCAGCATAGTAAACATACCTGACCCTGAACCGCCAGCACTGTGAGCATTATTCTCCTCCTGTAACTACAACCCAAAAAAAATTAGGATGTGAAAAGTTTGCAGCAGGGAACATGAAAACGCAGGCTGTGACCTTTGTGTATGAATAGATTCATCGTTCATTCATCAGTCTCCAAGCTGATATGGAAGCCTCGATGCCCGGGTCACACCCTGTGTGCCCAAGAAAAGTCATAATCTAAAAAGAAGAAACACACAACTCTTTAAGAACAGAAAGGCGGATATATGTAATACAAAAAAATAAAAAAAAGATAAATCCTCTACTCCCATAAATCAATATCTACAGTATCTGTGGTTGATTTGAGGGTGGAAATTAATATGGGACAGAGCTTTCAACTGGATTCACCTTGTCTATCCGATTCATGGAAAATATTGTGAAAAGTTTACACGTACACGCAGGTTTGTAAATACACAAACACACACACACACACACACAGCAGCAAGATGTTCCTGCGACTCAGCAGTCTAGGATTCAGTTCCCTGTCTGTCGCACAAGATACTCAATAATACTGGCAGCATGGGTGTATGTGTGTGTGTGTGTGTGTGTGTGTGTGTGTGTGTGTGTGACCATGTGCACCTATGAAACCGTGCCCTGCCCCTTTCAGTCTGCTTTTCTATTGGTCCCCTGCCTGCTGTCCCTCTGTCACACTCAGGGTTGGACAAGTGTGCACGCACCCACACACACATACACACACGCACACTCAGAGACACAGCAGGCACAGCTGTCAACAGAGAACACAGAGCCATAGGTGGGTTGTGTGCATGTTTGCTCGCGCGCGTGTGTGTGTGTGTGTGCGTGTGCGCGTGTGTGTGTGTGTGTGTGTGTGTGTGTGTGTGTGTGTGTGTGTGTGTGTGTGTGTGTGTGTGTGTGTGTGTGTGTGTGTGTAATGAGTAGCAGAGCAGTATCTGTTGTAGGATTACACTCTGACCTGGCTTGTCTGGCTAATGCCTCTGTTACCATCAACAACATCCACACTGCTACTAGACAGAGGGGGACACAAGAAACTCTACTGTCTAGGTATTTACAGGGCTCTATATCTTTTTCATTACTGTCTTTTATATTTAAGTTTTATCTATACATCTATCACAGTCCATGTCACATTTGCTTGTTTTCACACATTATTTGTTTTTGCTTATACGTGATTAAAATCATTTAAATCTTTCTCAGGAGGCCAGGAGGGCACTCCACGCTCCCTAGTGGGCTTGTTTGGCTCGGTAAGCATGTCCTTCCTTATGCTGCCTTTGCTCTCTATTTGCATCTTTGTATTTAGATGAAAGAAAAAATGAATAAACCCTCGAATAAAAGGAATGAACCAAATGCACCAGCAGGCAACTGGCCTCAGAAGGGAATTCCGCTGAAACTGACTTTTATTTGGCTATTCTGCAAAAGATGCACTGCTAAAAAACAATGCTGTTTTTTTTTTTTGTTTGTTTGTTTTTTTTGGTTTAAAATGCATCATAAGTGTAGGCTTCCAAGGAATGAGGAAAGTGCAGCGTTGCAAAGTTCCTGGATTGCCCTGCAGGCTCTGTGTTCACTGGCTGCATCTGACCAGAGTAGCCACTAACTGGCCAACAATAGGCCGGTTAGCTGAACCCAACCCAGTCTGCAGAGCAGCCTGCCGCTCTTCATATATGCAAGGGCTATAATCATGATTGGGGATCTGCAGCAGTAATGTACCAGCATTTGAAGCACTTCTTTCAGTTTGTATCAACCTGTACATACCCTCTGTATAGCACCAAGTTAACGAGTCGTAATACTCATATTAGTAATAATTTCATAACCCATAATTGACTGTAAATTTAGGGCTCACAATAAGTGTCTGTGATCAAGTTTGAAGGTGTGAAATAAAGTACTGACTTTAGCATTAGAAAAACACCTGCTCAACTAACTTGCATTCACATTATAAAATAAAAACTGAATTGCAATTATTCAATTATTCTATCTGCATATGTATTTCCTGTTTTAATTATCTGTTTCATTTGTTCTGTCGCAGACACATGTTCAAACATAAACATGGCATCATTACTGTCTAAACGAATAACATGTTTTCCCATGTTTTCAGTTTGTATAGAAGTTTAATCAGCTCAAGTCCAGTGAATAACCTTAACTGGTACAAAAGTCAGCGGCTGCCAAAACTGAACAACTGATTAAGTAGTCAGTTAACTTACGGCTTTCCTGCAGCTATGGAAGTAAATGAAGCCTTGAAAGTTAATGCAAACAATTCCGACATTTACCCTAACTTTTGCTGATTGCTTAAAAACACTCTGCCTGTACAAAAGGTAGTGATGGAACAAACTGTCTTACTACACCCTCTGATGCGTTATTAAGACAATACTGTACCGCGGGCCGTGGCTATCAGAATGGTGAGAAAAAGACAGGTAACAAAAGGAAGACAGACTGGTTGGTCAGGGGCTCATCCTA